CTAGGAGTAGCTGCAAAAAAATGGCCCTGGATGGCCCACCTTCAAACTTTCTATTTTATGAAAAAAAACCAAAACCACCTTATTTGGTGAAGCCACCATGCCCAGATTTTTGTTATAAGCAACCTGATGCAATTATAAATCATAAAAATATCAAATCAACTGTTGTGTTTTCAATTACATAAGTCAGTAATTGCCCAATACTGTTTAAGCCACTTTGAACTGAACTTCTATTACTGGCAATGAAGAAAACCCTAAGCTGTCAGAGCCTCCTTTCTAAGGAATGGGTAATTCCTCTGACTTTAAGTACCTGAAGGGCAAGGACTATATATTATTCACCCTAACCAGCTTCTTGGCCAATAGGCATGCATCTTTAGTAATAAACAATCATGTTATTCCCAGAGAATTACAGGGAAATCTTTCCAAAAGAATTGTACTGCCTTGCTTATATAAAGCTACACAATGAATAAAGCAGAGCAATAAGTAAATGGCACGTTTTCAATATTCTTTAAAAATAACTGACACATACAGTATATTATAAAATTTTTTGACATAATAAAACTAAGAGACAACTTTTAGTAAATCATGTCTTCAATTTTCTGTCACTAATTCTTCAAACTTCTTTGTATCTACTCTCCACCTTTCCTTTTTCCTTTTTGTATACTACAGCATAGTGGTTAAAGCTGAGAGCTCTCTAGTCAAACAATATAGTTTCAAACCTTAGATCTGCTACTTAACAGCTAACATGACCTCATGTTAGTTAATTCTTCAGTCAATTTTATCAAATATAAATGGGGATAACAATAATACCTCATAGGATTCTTTTTGAGAACTGAGATAATATTTATAAAATGCTCAGTACAAGGACAGATATATAGAACTGCTTACTAAATGTTACCTATTATTTTTAGTTTTTACAACACAAGAGATATCCCTCCTCTTATGTAAGCCTAATTTGGTTATGCTCCAGATACCATCTCCCTCCTGCTTCCTTGGGGAGTTTCAACATTTTAAGCCAACTGGCTTAAATGAATTTCCTGTGACAAAGTCACAGAGATTTTGTAAGCAACAAATTGTGACTGTTCTTAAAATTTTCTTGGCCACAACTGATATAAATAGAGTGATGTGTTATACTGTGAAAAATAAAATTTCCACTTTTTCTAAAATGAAGATCGAACAACTCACATGCTACCTAAACAAATGTTAAGAGGGGAGAAATAATGTCCTTTCATCCATGTTTTTAAGCAACTTTTAATCAACAATAAAGTGAAATAATGAGGGAGATGTAAATTCTTCTTTGCTAAAATATAAAGAAAAAAAACTATCTCAATTGCAAGACTCTTTCCATATTATAAAGGATAATATTTTGTGGTTTTGTTCTTCTCTAGTTAGGTAATACAGTACTAAGGAATATGACTTTGCTTCCTGTTATAGGAAAGTTCCTAACTTTTATCAACTTTTTAAAAATTGGACATTCTGAAGTAAAAAAGTAAATGGAGCTACCTTAAGTTACTTCTTCATTTCAATATCATTCTTTTAAAATTTATAAAATATTATTATTCTTACGATATTTATGCAGTAAGTTAAATTGGAAGAAGTAAAATGAGCAAAATAGCCTAGATTTTCCTCTATTACTCCCTCTTACAGGAGGATGGTATTATATTGGGTTTTATGTCAGATGTTTATAAAAATTAAGTGCCCAAATTATAATTATATACCATTTTTAAATATGGATCCTTAAAAGAAGATATAATTGTTCTGTGCATCCTTAATTTTGGTTTGCTCTCTTATCAGTATTATAAAACCTTTCCTTGACTAGCAGAATCTTTAGGTGTACTAGTAAACATTAATGCAAAACTATGGCATGTTCTCATCTTTCTGTTTTTCATATTACCTAACCAGGCATACTGTAGCTGTCCAATTCACAAAGTACTCATAGCATATAATCTGAGACTTTTGCAACTATATATTTTAAAGGATCCACTGAGCCCTGAAAAGCAAGTGGTATCATTCAAGTTCTAATTACATGCTACCTGAGCTTTACAGAACAGGAAAAAAAATGAATACTGTACTTCCCAAATACATTTTTGACCACAAGCAGGCTCCAAAATAAATGCTCCAAATATTTTCCAAATATACAATTGTACAATAGCTCAAGCACTCTTCTATTCAAATTATGTTCTAGTTTCTCCTTATGCTGCTTCCACTTGATAAATGGGTCAATAAATGCCAAGTCAAATATTCAAGTAAATATATTTTCATTGTTATAGGCAGACATATAATTAACTCAGAGAATAAAAGAAACAAGAAATCAATTTATGATTACTTCTTTAGTTCTTCCCATTAGTCATTTACATTATAATTGTAGTTCCACTTTTAAAATCTTTATAAACACACACATATCATCTTGACTATAATTATAAATCAAATTATTTCAATTACAAATTAGTGTTGCATGAACTGTGACCCTCATATGTTAATTTTATTAGTAAGATTCAATAGTATTATAACCCATGTATCTGAGCTGATTAAAAAGCAATGCACATTTATGAGGCTACATTAATTAGTAATTTCAGCAAACGTTTCTAAACAATGTTAGAGATTTGCTCTGTCTCCTCTTTAATATAAACAATTGAATCAAAATTTTTTATGTATATGTATATATCAACAAATTGTATTTTCATTTTTAAGCAAAATAACCTAATAAAATATTACAAAGAGAAAAACATTATTTTACAAAGAAAATATTACAGAGAGTGAGCATTTTATTTAAAAAAATGTTATCTGTCAAGTCACTATCTTCACCAATCCAGGAAAAATGCATTTTATATCAAAACATTACATAAGTGACCTTTTAAAAATATTGCCCCAGATCCAAAGCTTCAGATGTATCCTTGTATGTCATGAAGCAAAAAGTTCAAGATAAGCTCAAGAAATCTGTTTTAATAAAATATGCTGGCACCACTCAATTATTATTTTCATTACAGTAGTTTGTTTTAAAATTATATATGATGAACATTCGTCATTTTACCTCTCAAGTTCCTCACCTACAAAGAGAGGATAAGGATGGTGCTTAATCGCAGATTTCCTGTCAGGCTTCAAGAAGTTAATACAAGTGAAGCATTTAAAACGATGCCCAGAATATAAGTACCAATAAACCTGTTAGCTATGCACGAGCTAGTTATACACATTTTGCCTATTCTGCTAGCTTCTAATTAGTAGGCCTGAAAATGTATTAATTTTTTTCAAGGAAAAGAAAGCTGCACCGTGACTTTCTCTCTGGTTTGTAAGCCCCAAGAGCTTTTGGCACTGTTGTTAGCAGCTGGTTCATCTGCCATTCACAAGCAAAATCCAAGATAGGGTCTCCACCCAGTAAGAGCTCCAAATTCTATCTTAACATGTATCAGTCCCTCTTAGTGGGTCAGGAGAAATGAGGAAAGGTTGGTCAACAAGCACTCAGTTGTAGTTAGATGAGAGAAGTATTCTATTCCACAGCAGGGGGACTATAGATTACAATAATTTACTGTATATTAGCTACCAGATTTTAAATGTTTTTTACCACAAAGAAATGATAAAGAAGAGAAGATAAATATGCTTACCCTGATTTGAGCACTACAAAATGTATAGAAACATAACATTCATAGATAGATACAATTTTATGTGTAAATTAAAGACTGTACTTTCCTATCACACTATTAATAATCGTTAGTTCATTGTATACACTAATGTATACATATACTAGGAAATGTATATGAGAATAAAAATGGGTAAAAATTTTTCTAAATATATTCCTCACAAAATAATGTGGTACCCAAACACAAGTATTATTGTTGTTTAATAAAATAATTTTACCAAGGTGTCCAGGGAGAGCTTTATGGTGATGTTTGAAAACGACATGGCACAAAGAGCTGAAGCTCAAAAGATGAAGATTCTAGGATTATTCTATTCACAAAACTGAAAATTCTCCACTGTAGTAAGCTAAGATAAACATATGAAATAAACAGACTTTCTCAGAGTTCCCATTGCATACTGCTCACGTAGTTCATCCTTAAGTGTTGAACAATTATTTTTGAAGAACTGTCTGTTCATACCCTAGTGAGCCCTTCATTGTGATATACTTAAATGCTTCTAATTTCCTATCTATTCTTATTCTCCCAATCAGAACTCAGAAAGATCTTCCTGAAACTACTTTAATCATGCCAAAACCTGATCAAAAACTGCCACCAGGGCCGGGGACTTAGCTCAGTGGTTTCGTCGCCTGCTGCGCAAGCGCAAGGACCTGAGTTCGATCCCCAGTACCAAAAAACAAAACTGCCAATAGTTTCCTCTAATTCCCAGATGATCAGCTTTCTGCTTTTAACCTAATTCCTCTTTCAACCTGCCCGGGACAGACCTGCCTCTTGCCTCTGCCACACTGTTTTTTCCTATACTTGTCTTTGTTCCCCATAATTCTACTCACCCTTCAAAATCCTTCTTCAAGAAGCCATCAGACTGTCTCATTTCTATTTTCAAAATAAAAGAACTTTATAAATGCTGCAGAAAAGAGAAATGCTAGCGGTAGACTTTTGGATGAAAGACCTGTCCAAAATCTGGTAGAGAATTGAAAACCAAAAGACAGAGACTCATTTGAAAGTTACATTCAATCCATTACATCCCACATGCCACATTTAAATTATTTACTATTCAAAATGTATACACTAGGCCAACTACTTATTAAACAATTACTCTTCCAATGACACTGTGCTCTTTTAATCATTCCACAAAATGAATTCTCCATTGCTTAACCTGGTTTCTTTAAGGAAAGAGTTCACAGTAGAACTGAAGCTATCACCAGATTTAAAATTCTAATTATTAGGAGATAACACAAAACTACACTAAAGAAGCACGAGGAGTCCTGTGTTTCACAGCTGAAGGACAAGTGGTTAAACAGTAAAATATCCCCAAAAAGTCAAGTTCAGAAAGTCTTTTTCAAGTGATATTTAGCACACTCTGTGCTTCAGTACCTTAAATTCCAATTTGATTTTCTCTCCGTTCAGCTCCTCTGTTGCTTTCTTTATTTTTTCACGACATCTGGTTACTTCTGACCTTACTGTAATACAAATTAAATCTTTAAACACATCAATCTTTGTAAAGTCTCTGTTCCATTCCATCTGGTTTGACACTTGTTAGGTGTCTTTCCCTGGGTGTGAGAGGTAAACTCCCCTAATGGCTCTGACCACTATCTTTGGGCTTTTTCTTTCTGCTCCAAGCAGCCAGCTAGAGAAGACAAAAGCCCCAAACAGAGGACCACAAACACCCGACCTTCTCGCATCATCCGTCGACTCTCCTCAGCCTGATGCTCGGCGAAGATGATGTGCTGAAACAAGGACTCTAAACTCATCTCGGCCCGGGCTCCTGGGGATCCTTGTTCGCTGTTAAATATTTTACAGCCAAGTCTGAGGATCCTGCAAAGCACAATAAGGCAGATTCTGCGAGGACTCTTCCCAGCTAGCTCTCCCTCTCCTGCTGTCCCAGCCCTCGCTGAGCGGAGCTCTCCTAGAACCGAGTCAGGGCCCTGAGGGTCTGGAGAGCCCAGCCCAGGGCCTTGGTTGCCCCGACACAATTTGAGACCACACCTTGGCTTCTCTCCGGCTTGTTTTGGCTCTAGTAACAAAAACCGAAGCCCTGATTCAGTCTGGGTAGCAACTCTTTTTACAGTCAGCCTTTTCTTCCCTCCCTCCCTCCCTCTCCCTTCTTGGGAATAAGCTCCTCAAAGTGCAGGGTCTCTCAGCAACCTGGTACCTACCAGCGCTACCTCAGGCCACAAACTTTCCCTCCGACTCCTGCCAGGCCCCAGGTCGGGTCTGGCACCGCGAGATTTTAAACTATGGTGGCTCCTTGGGCCCATTCTGCGGCCAGAGTGGTTTGCTATGGCCGAACCCCATGGTCTTCAATCCTTATTGGAGTTGGAGTGCTCAGTCTTCAAGTATAAAGTACAAAGTGTCCCGCTTTCTAAATATAAACTTTTCTAAAGTCTTATTCTTTGATAATGGCAAAAGACTGCTATAAATGCAATGTCTGACATTCGCCTTAATCATTCCTTTGTAATCAGAGCCTATCTTTTTTGTCTGCTTTAAAATTAATCATTGCCTTTTGTAATCAAGCTGCAGCAATATTAACACTTCAATATCTGTGCAATAGGTGTCAGAAACCAAAGTGGTTTCTAATTAAAGCTTAAATATGAAAGGCACCTTTGGGACTTTTGCACTAGCTTTTTTTTAATTAAAAATAAAATATTTTTGGTTTTAGTAGGTCAAAATATTGACATTGTAATAAATATCTGACTTTGGTTCTGTAAAACTCACATTGGTTAAACTTTTAAAAGAAATTTCTATTTTGAAGGTATTTAGATTCAGTAAAATAAGGTACAAAAATTAAAATTTTTGTCATGTGATAATGGGCTTAATTATTTCATTAATGCTACAGTGTAATTGTTTACAAATTTTAACCTAATCTAGATTTCTATCATAATCCTCATCAAGTCATTTCAGCATAAAATTATTTTTTTAACTTTATTATAAAAGAATACATATTGAAAAATGTCATGAGGAGGAAAATAAATGCCCATAAGAATATCCAGAGGCAAATAGAAATGAAATTTTGACTGTTCCAGGTAACCCTCCTTATTCAGCAGTTTTTGTTTATAAAATTTAAAATTATAGTGAATAAATAATAATATTATTATAATTTTCATGTTTAAAATAATAATAGTGGTCATTATTATAAAATATAATGGATTGGATATTTACCAAATACTATTCTGAGAAATATATATCCTTTTTTAGGTGAACTTTGTTGTTTACCTTCATAGTATAGTTGAGGAAACAGAGGCACAGAACAAATCAATGTACAAATTGAATTCAATGAACAATTCGCTCATCAATTCACTCTGAGACTTTGATGTGTCTTTTAATCAACCAACAATACTGTGAGATCAGTGCTTTTATTAATTACAAGACTGAGACAGAGAGGGCTAAGTAACTTGTCCAAGAGACGTACAATGACTAGTGTGATAGTTAACTGATCGTGGGTGTGGCTGAAGGGATTTATTGAAGACAGAAGCCCCACCCTGGGTGTGAGTGACAGCAACCAATAGGCTTCCTGCCTGAATAAAATGAAAAGGAAACCAAGAAGGAAGGCTCCCTTCCGTTTCTTCAGAGAAGTTCCAGTCTTCACCTTTAGCTTGGATGTGGTCTCCTGGCTTCCAGCACAGACCCTTCAGCCTTCCATCTCAGACCTTTCAGTCTCATGATATGGACTTCTATGGGACACTACAGTGAGCTCCAGGGCTTCAACTGGACCTTTGTGATCTCCAGCACATAGACACCCTTTTGCACTCTTACACACCTGACTCTGCGGGTGGCCATTGTAAGCCAATCTTGTAAATTCTTATATATTTGTATATCTTGCATTAAATCTGTTTCTCTAATAAGCACTGACTGATACAACTAGAAAGTAGCAGAGTCAGGATTTGAACCCTGTACCTTGTCAAGTTACATACCTAATATAGGGCAGAGAATGGAAACTAAGAAATCTGGGATCAGAAGCCACACATTCAATGTTGGATTCTGCTCTTTTTTCCTTGAATTGGATGACAGGAATTTTACTGTTTCATTCAAAATTTACATAGATATATCTTTATCACTCATAATCTTCATTACAGATGAATGTATATAATTTAGGTATATAGAAATAAATTTGACTGTTGTATCTGTTCAAGGGATGAAAAGCAAAGCTGATGTGCTTTGAATCTTTTTGTTTGAGCTCTCATTTGGAGGCTTCTGAACTGTACCATGGCTGCCATCAAAGGAGAGGGCTTCCAGAAGATCAATTATATTACTAATTACTACCAGTCCCTCCAGAATTATTCCCTGTAGACCTGCACAGGGAGCATCCTCATAAGGAGGCTGGTTTTCGAAAGCATGATGCTATTTAACATTCCAATTTTATTAGTTAGGCTCAAACTCCATTTATTATTTAACATGCTCTTTCTGTACTGAAATTTGGCAGAGTGAAATTTGGGCAGCCTTTGGGAGCTCAGTCGCCTCATTCACATGGGACTATGGAAGAGAGAGCTGGAAATGCAGGAAAGGGAGAATAGGGAGAAATGGCATCTTCATCTGCAACTATCTTCTTCACATTCTAGAACATACAGATGCTCTTATATCTTGTTATAATCTTCTTAGACATATACAACTATAGATATTAGGAGGAGTTTAAATTTAAATTTTGTTTATTGAAGCAATTATATTAGCTTACAATTCAAAATTTACATATTTCATTATGATAAATCAACATAGCATATTAAGATATTAAGATGCTTCTGTCATATATCTAGCTTTATTTAGAGATTTGGTATAGTTGTAAGATTTTTTTCTCTATGGATATATATATATATATACTGATTATATTCTGCAATGTACAGAGCAAGAGTAACATTACTTAAATTTATGCCAAATAAAAATGGAATATGACATGATAAAATTTTGTGGGAATACTATTTTCTGAAAATGTATCTATAAGTCTAACAAAAAAGAAACAATTCATTCAACAACTGTTTAATGAGTTTCTGCTTTTCATTCAACATTCATTCAACTAATATTGTTGAACATCTCCTATGTGCCATATTAAAGAAACAAGATTTAATAAAAACAGTACTATATAAAAAACATTTTTCTTCCCCTGGATATTGCTAACCTAATTGGAGAATTACTATATTTTTCAGCATTTGGGCAGCAGTATAAACAACTGCTTTCAGATGTTTCAACAGATGTTCTTTACAAAGAAAACCAATTATTTGTATTATGATACCCACATACGATTCTCAGATCTAAACTTTTCCATCTGTACATGTTTCATTTAATTGCATACCTATGGAACATAAAAGTTAAGATCACTCATTGTCTCTCAACCTCAGACTTTTGTTTATAATAACCCCAGCACCTGGGTTATGGAGCCATCAATAATTGCTTTGCTAGAAGGCCTTATATAAGGCTACATTGCTCTTGTGATTTAAAATGCATTTCTTCTCTTTTCTTAGATTGATGACTTCCCTAAATTCTAAACTGGGCTTGCAAATACCCACTAGCCCAGGGCCTATACATTGCAATGGAAAGAAGAAAAGTAATTCATTTATTTTATGTTTTTCTGAGGGCATCTAACACAAAGGAAAAAATGTGGGTTCAACCAAGTTCAACATCCATTTATTGAGTATCCATTAAATGTAAAATTCTCTCATGGGTGTTACAGACGGTACAAAATTGGAAAGATTCAGACCCTACTCTCCTGGAGGTTATAATCTATCAAATGGGGAAGAGTATGCACAAATAAGCCCTGGGAAGATTGTATGTAACACTCTCACCCTTGTGTAATGGGTATAAGGTGGAGGAAGAGTGATTAAGTCTAATATATTTGATCTGAGAAGACTCATTGGTAGAGGAAAATATCTGAGCTGGGTTTTAAAGCAGCTTGGAACTGCAATAGATAGAAGGGTGAAAAGAGCAGAAAGTTACATAGAGCCAACATTTGGACAGTGTTTAACATTTTCATGTACATGATGAAGAACCATGTAATGTTTCTGAGCAGGAGAGTGGCACGTCACAGTTTCTCTATGCAGTAAATTCATAGCAGTGGGTTAGAAGCACTGAAAGGGAAAAAACTAACATCTAGCATATATCGAGTAGCTTTCTGTCTATTCAGTCAATTCAGGCTGCTATAACAAAATACCATAAATTGGGTAGTTTTTAAAACAATGGAAATTTATATCTCACAGTTTTGGAATCTGAGAAGTTCAAGATTAATTTGCTGGCAGATTTGGGTCTGGGGAGGTTCTGATTCCTGGCCCATACAAAGTGTCTTCTCACTTCATCCTCACGGGATATAAGGGACTGGCTAACACATGAAGTCCCTTTTATAAGAACAATAATAATATACAGTCTCTTTTATAAGGACAATAATCAATTATGGGGACCTTGCCTTCATTACCTAGACATCTTCCAAAAGCCCCACTTGCAATATCATCATCTTTTAAGTTAGAATTCAACATATGAATTGGCAATGGACCCAAACATTCAGACCATAGCACTCACTGTGTACCTATTATCATCTGAGACCTCAACATGAATGGATTCTTTTAATCAACCTAACGACCTTCTGAGATAAATTCTCTTGTTACTTGGGGAACTGAGGCAGTGAGAGATAAGTTACTTGTCCACAGTATGTACAGTAGGAAGGAAGAAGCAGACTCAGGATTTGAATCCTAGTGGCCCCTTAACCACTTCATATTGCCTCTAAATCTAGAGACTTGGAGAAATACAACCATTTAAGTGCTTTCTCATTTCAAGGCAAATATATTTTCCAAAAATGGTTATTATCCCTAGGGCAGAGAAGGTGAGCCAGTCCCAGCACCCAGAAGGAAGCTCCCCTGCTGCCATGCCAAGCTCCTGGGGCAGAGAAGGTGAGCTGGTCCCAGAACTCGGAAGGAAGCTCCCCCACTGCCATCCCAAGCTCCTAGGGCAGAGAAGGTGAGCCAGGTGGATGCCAGAAGCACCCTGCCCCATGGAAATGAGAAAACACATAAACAAGCCTCAAAAACAGACTTCCAGATCACCTACAGCAACCCCAAAGGGAAACTAGATAGAACAATCTGATACTCAACCACCTGGACTCTCTGAACTGGCAACAAAAGAGGATCTGGGAAAAATGAAATCAGAAATAA